AGGAAAGCGATTCCGTGATGTGGATGAAGTCAAAGAAAACACGCTAAAGGCTTTGAACAGTATCCAGCCTCAAGAATTCCAGCACTGTTTTGAGCAGTGGCAAAAGCGTTGGGACAAGAGCATTAATGCACATGGGCAATACTTTGAAGGGGACTAATATACAGTTCAATAAAAATGCAAAAATAAAAAATAACAAAAATAAATTCGGGTTATTTTTGGGTCCCCCCTTGTAACAAAGAACATGTTCTATTGGAACTAGTAACCTTAAATAAAACCCTATTTCACTAACAGGGTTGGGGGGGGGTTGCATATGTTCCAGTGGTTTATGTTAGGTGTAGTAACTGTAAATGAAATAAGAATTCAGCAGTAGTTATATAGGGCCACTATACTGTAAGATTTGTGGATTGTCGATGTATGAAGAGACAACCACTTGTTGAACTGTCCCATAAATATTTATTATTATTTCACAGTATATACAGACGAATTTTGGCTTGAAGAATTGCCTAATAGTATAGTACCAACAATGCTACTGCTTGCAAACACCCACACCACACTTCTCCTCAATATCGCCATACTGCTAAGCAATGATACTTGCATTGTCACTGTAACGTTTGCTTGAATGTGGGTAGTTCCCACAGATTCTTACATAATACTGTAACATGATGCCTCAAAGCTGTCAGCTGCAGCCAGAGTAGACATTCATTTCTAGGCAATGCTTTGGTAAACAAGACCAATATGTAAACAACAATCGAAGTATTTGCTGCGCTATAACGACTACTGAAATGGCGTTTTCTGTTGGACCCAACCCAAAGCTACATAACGAGGATCCAGGGCCAGCAGATATAGAATTGAGGGAGTTGACTGAGAAGAAACAGCAGGAAAGGAAGTAGGCTGTGCAAGGGCGGCTTCATGTATGCCGTAGTTACAGTGAGACTGTTATACAGAGTGATTCACAAAGTTTTACCCCGGCTTATGGTATATATTCCTGGGGTTATTTCCTGAAAAATTTCCTTATAAACTTTTGGTCGATTTTCAATAGTTACGGAGTAACAATAGATTTTGGAAACGCATCATTGTGAATGCAGCGCTAAGCTTCAGCGTGGGCAACCATACGCTCCAGTCAGCTATGTCAGCAGATAAGGTTGACCAGTTTGAATGTTGCGTGTAGGTAGATAGGCAGAGTGGTTAATACGCGTGCGACGCATTGTGTTGACGTGCAGGGAGACATTTTTGAAAATCTTAAGTAAATCCAGTCGTCTTCTAAATCACTATAGTTTAAAGGAAACAGATTGATAGAAGGGTGTGATATGCAACCATTGGTATGTTTACAGAATGGGATGCTGAAAATAATGTAATTTTGTAACACAAAATCGATGAAAAATGTTGTACAATGCAAAATTAAGAAATTAAAAAGAAAAGTTTGGTTTTAGATTGCTTCTTTCCTAAAACATTAAAGATTTAAAAAGTGTTTGTATTGTATTTCTAATTTGTTTTGACTGAAATTCGAAGAAAAAAAAATTTTCGCCAGTTTTCAAATTACTGTATCTCTTTAATTATGAGTTGGATACCATTAGTATGAGGGGCGTTCAAGTTCTAAGGTCTCCAATTTTTTTTCTCAGGACTGGGAGCAGATAGACACATGCGGTTTAGTTTAAAATACATGTGTACTCTTTGTGAATGCGTGACAGACATGGCAGCACTGTACGGCATACAGAACTCTAGCGGTGGCGACGAGACTGAGGAGTGTTTTTGATACTTAAAATGGCGACGTTTTCGTTACAAGAACAGCGAGTAATCATTCGTTTTGTCCACTTGCGTGGTGCGACACCCATTGAAATTCATCGCCAGTTGAGTGAGACATGTGGTGATGGTGTCATGAATGTGAAAAATGTGCNTGAATGAGACATGGATGCCGTTTTTCAATCCTGAAACGAAGCGCTAGTCAGCTCAATGGAAGCACACAGACTCACCACCACCAAAAAAATGTCGGGTAAGCGCCAGTGCTGAAAAAATGATGGTGGCCATGTTTTGGGACAGCGATGGTGTAATCTTTACTCATTGTGTTCCAAAGGGCACTACGGTGACAGGTGCATTCTACCAAGATGTTCTGAAGAACAAGCTCCTTCCAGCACTGCAAGAAAAACGGCCGGAAAAGGCTGCACGTGTGCTCTTTCACCAGGACAATGCACCGGCGCATCGGGCATATGTGACGCAGCAGTTTCTTCATGAAAACAACCTTGAAGTGGCTTCTCATGCTCCCTACTCACCTGACTTGGCTCCTAGCGATTTTTGGCTTTTCCCAACGATGAAAGACACTCTCCGTGGTCGCACATTCACCAGTCGTGCCGCTATTGCATCAGCAATTTTCCAGTGGTCAAAACAGACTCCTACAGAGCCGTTCGCAGCGGCCATGGAATCATGGCGTCGACGTTGTGAAAAATGTGTACGGCTGCAGGGAGATTACATTGAAAAGTGACAGAAGTTTCAAATTTGTTTGTATGATTAGTGTGAGAAAAAAAATTGGAGACCTTAGATTGAACGCACAACGTATATTAACATTTTTTGTTCCAAATTACCTCAGGAATGCCCTCCCTAAGTGGTGGTAAAACTTCGTGAATCACCCTGTATATCTGTTGCCAGAGAATGGTTGGTGAAGACAGCAGGCTGGAATAGGCTTAGCAGGTACTGCTGCAATTTGTGAAGTGCAGGAATCAGTGAAAAGGTAAGTAAGGTGGTTATGATTTGTAAGAGTCCAATAAATCCATACCGCATCTACAGTCACTAATAACACGTGACAATATGAACTGCCTCATACTGATTCTTGTGAAAATCAAAACACTAGCAACTGCAAGCAAAAATGTGTATACCTATTTACCTCTTAAAAAAATCCTTTAAGAAAGAAGTTCAGAAGATATTATGACATGTCTAACCGTTGCTGGGCAACGGGAGGTGGAACGAGTTACCACAAAGGCAGACCCTTGATAAACAGTCGTTTGCCAAGTTACACAATAGTGGAAATGAGGTTATGCAACAGCAAGGAAAGCGGTGTTTGTCCGTGCCAAGCCGAGCCAAAGCGCGCTGGTTGCTATGCAGTGATGCCCAGCAACGCCTTCGTAAACACAGCGTCACGCAACAGGGGAGCCCGTGCAGCGACTGTTGCTAGGCAATCGGTAAACACGTCACGCAACAGTGAAAGCTATCACGTAACTGTTTTCTGTGTTGTCAGTGCGGAAGCTACATAACAGGAGTATTCGTCAGTGAGAGTGTCCACTGTGTGAATGGAAGTAAGTGTGATACTGCCGATGCCAGTAGTTGTAAAGTTGTAAACTGTGTACATGTAAGAGCGAATGTGCAATAAATTCGCGACATACAAGATGGCGTGAAGTTATTTGTCGCGTGACATATACTCAACACGTGACAATATTTATTGATTAGAACTCATACAAGCATACTGTAAATCAACAATATGTTCAATTTATTAAATAAGTCTAGGTATTTTGGAGTGCCTTGATCTTGCATGAACCCATAGACAAAGTACCATATTCTAAAGAATTTTTACCGCTAGTGCAGTTACGAAGTTGTAAACAATCAGAATTACCCAGTAACTAAGAGTGTTATACACCATCGTCAGAACCCTTCTGAATCTAGGTGTAAACAAATTCTATGCCCATGATCGCTTGGCTGTCATTTTGCATGACATGAGGCAGCTTATGTACGTTGCATGTATACTGACAACTTTACGACACACATCTCCATCACACGTGTAACATTTATCCTGCTTCTCAGAACAATACAGGCTGCCTACAGAGGCTAACACGCTGCCAAGTGTACCTGGAATCCGAGATATTTACCTCTATAATTTTTTCCTTCTTTTTCTCAACCGTTTTTTTGCTCGGTTGAGCCGGCTTCACTTTTGGTGGCATCTTTAAAGCTATCACAAACAAGCAGCCAATATTTCAACCCTAATTTTAAGTCAATACGTCACACAACTCAACACTTCTCCATCATTTCCGAAAACAATAGACGTTCGCAGTTTCACGCAGGATCGGCCAGAATCTCTCGCGATCTCTCGGGCCCCTCAGGCCTCTCGTGCGCTCTCCTGCCACCTTATGTTATTGTACTGTACTTGAACTATGAATACCAACTGAAAGTGCTCATGCTGCAGTCTTTTAATATAAAATACTTCTAAACTACATCTTGAGTTCAATATATGGCGCAAGATGAAAAATTAATTCCAATAAATTAGTTTCATGTATACAAGAAAGACGTGGGAATTGAAAACTTGAGCGTTTATTTTCTATTGCATGTTTTGGCAATGAAAAGTGGAGCTAATAATCCGCGTATGCTACCAACGTTGAAACATGAACTTTTTGCCAGTAATTTGGCAGTCATGTCGGTTACATTTTGTCGTAGGATTCGGAAACGTTACGCTACGTGTGAACATTGGTGAATTGGTGACGGTTTCGACAGGTGACGACGTGTTTCGGCTGGAAGGCTGTAGCTCACATACTAAGCCTTTTTTTACTTCTCTTATAAATGTTTTATTAGGTTTTATGGGGTATAGTTGAGTATAGTCATGTTACATGGAAGCTAAACGTTCCTCTATTTAAGCATCCAATTGCAGTACTACATATGTCGAATGCTGTTTAGTGTACTACACAGTCCGTCAACAATGCAACAAATTGTGCCGTCTTTCTTACACCTTCACTTTCGACACAAAATGTTTCGGCCCTAAATGGCCATCTTCAAGTATCTTGCAATGCTAAAAATGCGACGAATGGACAGTATTAGTGCAGTGTAGCAGTTTTAGCATAGTATGACACTTGAAGATGGCCATTTAGGGCCGAAACATGTGTCGAAAGTGAATATGTAAGAAAGAAAGAACAGTTTGTTGCATTGTTGATGGACTGTGTAGTACAATAAACATTATAAGATAAACCTTGTTTTTACAGATATTAATAATCTGAATAGCATTGTGTGTATAATTCACAATGGCCAAGTTCGATTTGACTTCCCGTATGGGTCAGTATTTAGACAGACATTTGATTTTTCCACTTCTTGAATTTCTATCTGCTAAACAGGTGAGTGGCTTTAAAACATATGCAGTAGGGATTTGAATTAAATATGAAGCGCTTTCTTGATGATGTAATATAACGTAATATTGCTGCCATTCCGGCATGTCTTTTTATAATTTCGTAGCTGGAGGGATGGATGGATAAATAGGCAGATACGTTGATACATGAGAGATATTGGCATTCCATAGATCCTAGAGAGCAGAATGTGGGGGGCAAGTTAAAGTGCAATATGTCACATTTGAAAGCAATGAAATTACAAAGCATTCACCATCCACACACTACAACAAAAGATTAAATTGGGTACACAATTGTTTTGTTAACAGTTGCATTGCAACTTTCAAATATTGTGATATTTATCTTAGTTTGGAGCATTTATTTTTGGTTTATCTGTTATGATTTTAATGTCAGTTGGTTCTAGTTCAGTACTGTTTCCCTGAACACTACTGAATTGTCTTTTTTACACTTGTATTATCACTGCCAGCACAGGACTAACTACTTGTATGTCATTGCACACACTCTGTGTCATGTGTACCCACATGTCTACAACATGCTGCCTCATAACTGAGGCTGACTCATCAATATCAGTTTTATTCTGGCATAGTCATTCTGGACCATTGTGGCTCACAGTGGGTGCTGCACATTTGAGAACAGTCTAGAAGCCTTTAGAGGTGGTAGTGAAATTAAGATGTCTCCAGATGGTGGTGGCATTTGTTTTGCCTCCCTCCTCCTGCTCTCGGTCTGTGTGTTCAGTGTTCAGAGAATTTATATTCACAGTAAAAATGGTTTATATATGTGCATCAGACTATAGAATCGAAGCATGAGTCAATGATTTGTACCAGATGTGTCAGTCACATTACCACTGAGCTGACACACATGGTACTACACTGAATTTCAGTTACTGTGAGTTCCATAACATCCTGTTCACCATGCCCCAAACGCTGCTTATATTTAGGGCTTCTGTCTCTGCGTTAAGGTTATCTATCATGGACTTTTCTTTTATCACTTAACAATTACTCATTTTTGTTTTGCGTGTAAAACAGGGCAGTTTCAGGGACCAATTGTAATGCTGATAACATTACATCAGATTATTTTAATTTATATTGTTAATAGTAGAGGGAATTTACCGACTACACAACACATTTTTTATTATCACTACATGTTTCGACCTCAAGAGGTCATCCTCAGGTGTATGAACATGGCTGTATAATTACATGCGGTCACATTCACTTTTCACTCATTCGACCCTGTATCTTATCCAGATTTATGCTCACTAATATATTGAGTTCTTTTTATAAAACAGGTTAAAATTATTATTCAAATTTAATTGTTAAAAGTTAAAAGTTCGTGAATTGAAGTTCAATTCATGTCACTGGTTACACTTTCACTTGTTGTTTACAGTCTCATTTTACTTACGCTCACAACTGTGTCTAGTTCTTTTTTAACTAGTTCAATTATTATTATTATTGGTTAAAAGTTCGTGAATTAAAGTTCAACTTATGTTTTTGGTTGCTCTTTCTCTTGTTTGTGAGGTCTTGCTGTGCAACCAAAAACATAAGTTGAACATTAATTCACGAATTTTTAACCAATAATAATAATAATTAATAAAATAATTAATAAAATAATAATAATTAAACTAGTTAAGAAAGAACTAGACACAGTTGTGAGCGTAAGTAAAATGAGACTGTAAACAACAAGTGAAAGTGTAACCAGTGACATGAATTGAACTTCGATTCACGAAATTTTAACAGTTAAATTAGAATAATAATTTTAACATGTGTTTTATAAAAAGAACTCGATATATTAGTGAGTGTAAATCTGGATAAGATATAGGGTCGAATGAGTGAAAAGTGAATGTGACCGCGTGTAATTATACAGCCGTGTTCATACACCTGAGGATGACCTCTTGAGGTCAAAACATGTAGCGATAATAAAAAACGTGTTGTGTAGTCGGTAAATTTACTCCACTATTAATTATACACACAACAGGATGCAAGAAACGATTAAAATTAATTTATATTGTCTTTAGTTTCTGTGGCAGTATTTCTCTAATCATCACAAATGGAATTGAGCATGATGGAAAGACCTTGCATTAAACTACATGATAGCTGAAGCTGAATATTGAATGTGGTTCACCATGATCTTTGTTTGGCTAAATTGTTTCACATCTTCTATAAACATTTTTGTAACATCCATTTTACTCATATATTATACATTTACCTTCTTGATGTTTTAAGTGACTGTTCTACCAAACCTCTGTAGAGACTACTTTCACCACACTCAGAGCTGCATATCCAATACAAATACAAATCCAAGCAAACATAAGCTCCATGTTTGACTGATCATAATGTATGAATAATGAAGTTCCCTCATTGTGAATGAATGCATTTCAGAACTTACTTTATCAAAAGCATTCTTCAGAAATTCACCATTTATTTTTACAGATATATGATGAAAATGAATTACTTCAAGTAAAGTTGGATATCCTGAGCAAAACAAACATGGTAGATTATGCGATTGACATTCGGAAGCAGCTGTATCCAAATGAAGACGTTCCAGAGGTTGGTTTGTAATGTGCTTTATCCTTATGTGGACATTTTTCTGGTCGGTGAGGATGGATATACAAGGAATTGTATAAAGGAATTAACTGAGCCAGTTGTTGAGGGTTCTCTGTTAAGCATAACTTTCTCTGATGTGTTGTCCTTAATGTCTTGTATGTGTGTATTTGAGGTTCAAAAAAGCAGTTATTATGGACTTGAGAATGAACATTCATTGTAAGCATAGCTATTGGATGACACAGAAAATGAAAGACAAGTAATTTTGGATATTCATGTTCAATTACAAGACTTTGACAGTGTATTTTTAACATTGTGTTGGCGTTTCTATTTATGTTGAATTTATTTAAGACATTAGTTACCCACTCAAAATTCAACAGTTTTAACTGTCATGCAAGTTTTTACAACCATACGGAGGTGATATTTTTGTAGTTTCCTGAAATTTTACTAAATTTCTAACTGTAAGTTAATCATCTTTATATTGTGTTTAATATCATCCTGAAGCAGTTTCCATGCTTATTTAATTTTTTTTGTAGAATTTAAGAGTAAGTATTGGGAAACAGTATTCACTGAAGGGGTGAACAAGCACTTTTTGCAACTACACATGTTGTTGCTTTGCTTAGTCCGGAAGAATAAATGGGAGACTTAATTTGCTGATCTCGTACATGCTTTAATTTACTTGGCATCAGGCAGAAGAGTGAAGTGGAACATTGCATGTAGCAGTTTATGCATTATTGCATGCCATAATAATGATAAGGTATTTATTTTTGACAGCAAACATCATAAAATATCAAAGAGGAGGTTAATATGTCAGATTGCTGCAAAACTACTTTTGGGAGGGTGGCTTTCTGTTGTGAAGAGAACAATGGAATGACATTCTAGAATTGAATCTGTTGCTGACAGACTAAGTGGGCATTGAAGGAAACCTCTTAATGATTTCTTCAGGGCTACCAAAGAGATTTGAATTCTATTGCAGGAAGTACTCATCTGTGTGCATTAACAAATTTTGACCATAATTTTAGGATATGACAAACCGACGTCTTCATGTGGTACACCAGCTGAAAGGATTTAATGAGATATGTGATCCAGTTCTGTCACTCATGTCAGATGATGAATTAATGAAGAAGATGGAAACCATGAGGGATTCCAGAACTCTGATGAATTTTCTTCAAGAAGAACTCGGTGTAAGAGCTTCACAGTATTGTCTAACTGCACAGGTCTTTCAACATTTCGTTCTAGAATGGCCAATCAAGCTGTTCAAGAGTATGACACATTCATTCCACTTAGAAGTTGGTGTGCATGTCACTCAAATTCACACTAGGAAATATCTCAGATTCAGAGAAAAAATTACGGACTTTAATAAAGCAAATAATTTGTGCCTGTATCTTGTTAATTTGAAATTTAGAAGTATGAAATCATTAAACATTGTATGAACAGCTTACTGTGAAGGAATGCATGCAGTTTTTATGAAACATATTTCTGAAAATTCATAGAAACTTATTGCCAAATAGTGCTGTGTTGTGGTTACCACTCTTACATATTTGGATGGTACCCCAGTTTGAATATAGGACAGGAAACTAGTTACACTTACTAAGTCCCCCCCCCCTCCTTCACTTCATGTCACACCCATACCCAACTCAATCATTCATAATCCTGTAATTTATAATCTGGCAGTATATATTGAGTGCAACTGACAAAGCTAATAGACCAGTACCCAAACCTTGAGTTCCATCACATTTGCTTATTTGTTGTTATTGAATGTACTTAACACTTTGCGGACCGGCAATTTAAATATTTAAATCACCCTGGGGTCCGGCATTTTTAAACCTACTACCCTAACTTGTGCACTGTTCAATTTAAAAATTAATATAAAATCTCATAATTTATTTTTTGAACTAAAATTTTTGGAGAACACTTACCAAAGCTCCTAGAAGAGCTTGAGAATGTGATATTCCTGGAAACATTCCCCTTTGTGAAGTGGCATTACACAGAACTTGCAAATGTAGGCAGTCATGCTCCTTTTTCTGTGAACTGTGCAAACACGACATTGCCTAGAAGGATGCTTCCCCTTGGAATGTTCACTCTTCACAATTTTCACGATGGTATATTTCCGCATATCACCCGAGAGTTACCCAGGGGGGTCCACATGAGGCCTGAGAGGGGTGGGAGTTGATGATCCCGGTTCCACTAAGTCTTTGTCAGACTCTCGTTCTGCCGCCACCATCTGGTCTGTAGCCCAGGCCTTTGCCACTTTCTTCAGAAATGCTTTGTATTTCAATTTCGAATTGGGGTTTAGATTTTTGTAAACCAAAAATGAATTTAAAATGGCACAATTTATAAGTCACAAGGGACTTTCTTTGTCCACTTTATTGTTTATCTAGGAAGAGAATAATAGGCCAAGTATTGATAGGATCTATCAACTTCCTTCATGGACATATTATACTCAGAAATACAAATAGGCTTCTTTACTTGTCCATGTCTCCTTTGAACATGAACCATGCTCGAATTGTAAATTGTGGAAATCATATTCGCAACACAAGTATGTCTCTCTCCAAAAAACAGTTCTGCTACTTCAGACACTTGCGTTGTGTCCGATGGAATTTGTTTCAATCCTGGATTTCCAGAAAACTGTCCCAAAGTAGGTGTTCTGTCTACTTTTCCCCATGTGGCTATACCCGCAATTTTACTACCTGCACTTTTGTCAGAGCTACTTTCACTTTTATTGTCTGTAGCTACACTTGTTTGTTGACCCCTGTCACTGCCACTGTCTCAGTTTCACTACACCTCTCACAAGGCACGTCAAATAGCTCATCTGAGAATGAATAAGATATTTCTTTTTCTCCGAGATATCGCTTCGTCTTCAACCGCGTCTGTCCTTGATTCATAATGCATGATGCACTGAAATCCTGCCTGATACATAACAGCTTGAAGGGTCAAAGATTATTTTCCTTTGGAGGGAGAACAAAAACAGAGAGGTCAAGTTACTACCTACTAGGCAAATATTCCGGAGTAATATTATGCAGTAAGTCATTCATTTGGGTGGCGCCAGAGAGATGTATAGTGTGTTGCAACTTATTGTGTTTTAAAGCCAGTTAACAGGCGAACGGTCCGCCATGTTTAAAAGCGAAAAACCGTTTAAATGGTGCGTGGTCCACAAAGTGTTAATATGAACACTCCTTTTCTCCAGTGTGAGGCCAACATGATGGAGAGCATGTACAAGCTGGCAAAGTATCGCTATGAATGTGGAAACTACTCCCTCACCACCAGCTATTTATACTTCTACATTCTTGTCATGCCGACAAGTGATAAGGTAACTTTTGTTTCACTTTCATCACTAATATAATTTAACTGCATACTGAGTGTTGTGGCAGGAGTTTTACTGTAAGGTAAAATGTAATTTGGAATTAAATATGAATAACTTTTAGATCGTAAATTCTTGTTTATTTATTTTAGAAGTGTAATAGAATGAGGATTGACAAAGGAAAATGCATTTCATGGATTAGACAGTTACAACCTTTCCAGTCATAAAATAAATGATGGATTTAATTTATCCCATCCAGCTGTGATTTTTTTTATAGGAATGCTGGGATGCTATGTTAAAGACTGACCTATCCGTTATCTATCCTCTATCATGTTCATGATTATCTCACAGTATTGTATTTGATGTTATATAACCTCATAAGTTGATAGAATGTAGTAAAATGTTCAGATGAGCAAAGTTTCTGAGGACTGATACTTTCACACATTTATGTTTTCCTACAGAATTATTTAAATGTGTTGTGGGGAAAACTTGCTTCTGAGATTCTGTTGCAAAACTGGGACACAGCATTGGAAGACCTGAACAAACTCCGTGAATATATTGACAATAACTCATTTGGATCAGCTCTGCAGAGTTTACATCAACGAACTTGGTTTATTCATTGGAGTCTGTTTGTTTTCTTCAATCATGAGAAAGGAAGGGATCTTGTTATTGAGATGTTTCTCTACAGGCCACAGTAAGTGGATACTTGTAACTATGGTAATATAATCTGTAGATTCACACAGGTGAAAGTGTTGCACATTTGAGTGGCATATATTAGTACAGAAATTTACAGATCTAGTGATATTTATTTGAGGGTGGGGAACAATTCTCCTGCATACATTTTTTATTTAAATTAAAAATGAATTTAATTTGTAACTTCCTAGTACAGTATATGTATTTCACAGTCATTTCCCAGAATCGGAATTGATTTATTTTATGGTTACAGATTTTTGGATAGTTCTACTTTCCCCTCTGGAAAGCATTTTCCTGTTATGTTGGGAATAGTATGCAAATTTGTAATTTCACATTGGTATAGGGCAGTTATTTCTGATAGCAGACAGATCTTATTCATTGCAATAATATTCATATGCAATTTTGTTCTGACATCAGACTATGATTTTGTAATTTTTGTCCAAGTAGGAATTATATGTTAATACTTACTGTTATGAGTCATGCATGGTGTTTGTATTTGTAGGTACCTGAATGCAATCCAGACCATGTGCCCTCACATCTTGAGATATCTGGCCACTGCTGTTATCATCACTCGGTCTAGACGAAGTGCTCTCAAGGACTTGGTGAAGGTTATCCAGCAGGTGAGAATTCTGTTATTGGGCAGGTTACTGGAACTTGGACCCACCAAGAGGGCAGATGTCAGAGAGGTCAAAGGACTAACTGCAGGAATGAAAAATAAGTAAACTGTATTCATATAATATGTCCATTTAATTAAATATTCTTGTATCATTAAACACATATTTTCCTTTACACAACAGAATATCCATTTAATGTTCAGTTAGATACAGTTGGATATAAATATGTGACCTGTGTTTGAACAATTTAACTTAATATGACAGGGGAATGAAAAAGACAGTTATTACTAGGCTATGGCTCAATAAGCAGTGATGCAGTAATGTAACCCGTCATGCCAGCCATGCAACCAATGGCAGTACTGGTGGGAACCATATTCTCTATGTGGTCCGCACCAATAGCTATGTCATGCAACAATAGAAGAATTGTTGGAAGCAGTATTTTCTGTGGGTCCCTGCAGAGGTTCTATCTGAAGAATCAAAACACAGTTGAGTCAGTCGAGAGTAGTGAGTCTGCAGTTAGCAGCTGGGAGACAGACCTGTTGGAGGTTGTAACAGGCAGTCGCCCCTGGTGAAGGTGTGATAGATGGAAGAGCCCCTACTGTTGTAAGCTGTTGCATAGCAACACCGAATCTTGTTGCGAGATAGACATAAGCCTGCAAGGACATGAGCCTGGGAGCAGAGGAACATCCACTGTTAGAAGACATTACCTAGCAGTGCAGTGAAGGCCGTGACTAGGAACACTGTCTGTAGTCACTCATTTGTGTGACAGTATTATTCCTTTCCCTGGTTGGCTTTCTATTGAATGTGATGTATATATATATTTATGTGTTTTTAAGATGGAAAAACCGTGGTCTATCACTGTTTCATTACTTTGCATTCATCTTTTCAGATCTCTTATCTGCATGCAGAAAGGGGTGGCTTGACTGTTATCACATACTTGAATGTGGCTGTAATGATGTTAGAAAATATTTTCCAAGTGATATAATTTCCAGTTTTATGTGTCCGTGAAAAAGTTAATATTGTTTATTATGTCATTTTATACCTGTTATAAATTTTTATTCTGTAATAGCACAAAATTCTAAGCAGATGGATGCAGCAAGTGGTCATTATGCAGCAGTGAAAAGAGTATTGGTCAGAGGGATTACATAGTCATAAGATTGTCATAATAAATAAACAGTTTAATTGCTTCTGCGGTTTATTTTAAGAAAAAATAGTTGAATGGACACATTAGTACTTCAGTAGAAGACACTGAAATACAGTAACTTGGTGACCTGATGGCTACTAGGGCTATAGGGCATGAATTAAACACACTAGAACTTTCATTTAAATAAATGAGTTTCATTACTATTTTTATTTGCAGGAGTCCTACACTTACAGGGACCCCATCACTGAATTCGTTGAGCATCTGTATGTGAACTTTGATTTTGATGGTGCTCGCCAGAAGCTTCATGAATGCCAGATGGTTCTGTTTAATGACTTTTTCCTTATTGCTGTTTTGGATGAATTTGTTGAGAATGCCCGACTTATGATTTTTGAAACTTTCTGTCGTATACATCAGTGCATCAGCATTGGGTGAGTCAGCAGTGACAGGAGTTAGTTGCTAAAACATGTTTGCAGGATACCAGATTCACTGTTTCTGTATATCCTAATTTTCGCCCAATTTTTTAAACTTGTTATGCAAGTTGAAAATGTATGGAGGGAAAAAAATTAATGTAAAGTTACTATGAGATAACCATGTTGTGTATCCCCCTCCTCAGTCAACTTTTGAATGCCTAAATCAATTTTTATGAAACTTGGTATGTATGTGTCATGGCACTTGAGCCCATCTCAGTGGTGTACTTCATAAATCCCTCCCATCAGTCTGTGTCTGTATGTGAATACCCCCTGTCAGTGCTAGGCAGTGGCTTCATAAAAATGTTACTGCAACAGTAGAGGAACTGTTGGATGCATCATTTTCTGTACAGTCCATGTCATATCAAATAGAATTCAGTTTCACACTGAGGAAGTAATACTCACTTTGTGTTCATATGAAAAAGAATTAGGTATGTTTTTTTTTGCATACGTTATAAAATTCAATTTGTCAGAAATGTCAGATAGGTACATATGTATTTAGTGATTTTGTCTTGTACTTTTCATAAAATAGTGAAGAATCGACATGATCAGGGGGTATATTCCATTTACGTGGTGTGTTCAAAAAGTATTGAACCTTTGGTCGGCAGAAATACGTTTATTGATTTGGAGGTACAAAACCCTAATTCCCTTCAAAGTAGTCTCCTTGGTAATGCACACACTTCTCCCAGCGCTTCTGCCATTGTTGGAAACACTTCTGGAACGCGTCTTTTGGAATGGTAATGAGCCGGGCCATCGCATTCTGCATGATGCCTTCTATTGACTCAAATCGGGTTCCTTTCAGCGGCATTTTCAGCTTGGGAAATAGCCAAAATTCACACGGAGCCATGTCGGGGGAGTAGGGAGCCTGACGAACCACAGGGATGTTGTGTTTGGCGACAAAAGTCTGAATCAGATGCGCAGAATGGGCGGGTGCGTTATCATGATGGAGCTGTCAAGTTTTTGCTGCCCACAGATCTGGTCGTTTGCGCCGCACAGCATCACGAAGGTGACGAAGGACCTCCTGGTAGTATTCCTTTATGATGGTTTGGCCTTGTGGTGTGTACTCATGATGCACAACCCCACGGGAGTCGAAGAAAACAGCCAACATGACCTTGACATTGCTGCAGACCTGCCATGCTTTTTTTGGCCTCAGGGATGTCTGATGTTTCCCCTGTGATGACTGCATCTTGGTTTCTGGGTCGTACCCATATCCACACGACTCATCGCCTGTGATCACGGTGTTCAGAAAGTTGGGGTTACTGTTTGCATTGTCCAGCATGTCCTGTGCAATTTCCAGATGGCGTTGCTTCTGCTCCATTGTTAGCAGTTTCGGTACGAATTTCGCGGACACTCCTCATGCCCAAATCCTCGGTCAAAATTGAATGTACCGATCCAATGCTTACCCCTATCTCGTTCGCAAGTTCTCGGACTGTGATACGACGCTTCTCCATGAGCAAAGTCCACACTTGCTCAGTAACATTCTCATTTCGGCTTGTTGAGGGTCTGCCTGAACGCGGTTTGCTGTCCACTGATGTGCAGCCATCTTTGAAGTGGTTGTACCACTCCTTTATCCATGAGTTGCTCATGGCATCGTCCCCGAAAGCCTGTTGAATCTTACTAATGGTTTCCACTTGGGTATCGCCAGGCTTTTGGCAAAATTTGATGCAGTATCACTGCTCATGTTGTTCCGTGGGGGTTTAACCATACTATAAATTCAGTTATTAGTTTAAGGGTAAGACATTGAAGCTAAAATAATTGAATAATTGCAGGATGTTAGCAGAGAAACTGAACATGAAGCCAGAAGATGCTGAATGCTGGATTGTGAATTTGATTCGGAATGCACATCTCGATGCCAAGATTGACTCTAAGCTTGGACATGTCGTTATGGGAACACAGCCACTGTCTCCATATCAGCAGCTCATAGAGAAGATTGATTCCCTGTCTGTTCGTTCTGAAGCCCTCCAAAACCTAATCGAAAGGAAGCTGAAAGCTCGAACACAAGATGTAAGGATTTACTTCCATAACTGCTGTGATGCAAGGTTGAGCAGTTTATAAATTTGTGATTAGTTTTCCATTGTCATATAGAATAGAATATATAATAGTATATAGTTATATAGTATATAGTATAGTTTCCAGGCATCACAGTATTTTGTACATAAAATTGGCAGAACCCAGTGTTAAAAACCATGAATTGATTGTTAGTGACACCACTGCATGGAACAAGGCTTTATGTACACTCACAGTACTTCAGCTTGTATTTTCAAACCTGTTCAGATGCCATTATAAGGAACAGGGGTAATTTATGCAGCTGATACGTGTCTTTCTCCCTCCTTCACTTCCTTCACATTATTTGTTTCCCCATTCCTTCATTACTGTTAACCTCACAAATTATTTCATGACTGCATAACAGAGTATGACATTAAACATTACTTCTGCACCGAAATGTTAGATTTCGGTGCAGAAGTAGAAAGAGAAGATATTTTCAAACAATATTTTAAATATGTGGAAGAATTACATCTGGCTGATATTGAATATACATGGGGTTAATGATGTTAGACAAATTGAAATTTACATGAGAAGGGGGAGGGGGTACTGGTACTGTTCTCTAGTTCGAGTTGAGGTTTCTGTTGAAATGTTGAAACGTCTCCAAGGTTTTCCAGCAGATTGATCCGAGGATTAGGTAAAACTTTGTTCTGAAATCCATAAATTTCTTAATCCCACAGAAAGTATTGCCGCAGCAGTGGAAGACACTATTTAGTAACAGTTTATGAAAGGGTAATAAAACTGGCCTGTAATTAACAAGGAATATAACTGTTATCAACTGCATATACAATTTTATCCAACATTCTCCTTACAAATTTAACTTCATACATAAATAGAAGTTCTGTGAATTGTCAGTTGTTGGAGAAGGAATTGGAGCACTGTGGGGCAATACCTCAGCTAAATATACACTCTCTCTCCATGCAAGTATGATTCAGTTAGGAGAGAAGTATTGTATTCTCACTGAATTCAGTATACCCATGAAACAAAGCTATGTTTAAATAATGGGACATGTTAACTTCTGGTCTGTTAGATATTAGTGGGGGGTGGAGTCCAACTGGGTCCACTTGGCACGGCGGCCACTGATTGGCCTATTGTAGCCTACCCCGGGTGATTATGATGATGGAGAATTTGTGGAATGAAGATTGGCATGGGAAACCGAAGTACTCTGAGAAAACCTGCCCCAGCACCACTTTGTCCACCACAAATCCCACTTGACCAGACCCAATATCAAACCCGGGCCATCTGTTAGATATTAGTAAGTTGGCCTAGAAGTAACATACACAAATATGTTCATGTCTTATACAAGAATAAAGATATTAGGATGATGAAATAGAGGAGGATGAGATGGATGGGGCATGTAGCATGCATCACTAAGATGAGAAATGCATGTAGAACTTTGGTCAGTTATCTGAAGGGAATAGACCATTTGAAAGACTCAGACACAGATGAGAGGATACTGAAACTGATTTTTAAAGGAACAGGTTTGAATCTTTTTTTAAGTGTTTTTCCATTCTTTTTACAGTGTTATGCTAACGGACATTTTATTTTCTATCAAAAAGATGCAAGATGTGGATGGAAATTACATTTCTGATTACCCAAATGTATTATTAATATTTTGTTATTCATCTTGTGTTGCAGATGCGATGGGGAGCCCAAGACTTTTAAGGCAAACATTTTGCAGGTGCACATATTTAAACTCTGCTTCATTATTTTTAATGTATGTTTTTTATATATCTACTGTTCAAATCATATGTAACATATGATAATTAAAGGTATATATCTTGAACCAAAACAAGAATTCATGATTGTTAAATAAGCCTGAAATAAAATGAACAACTTAAGGCAGGAATGGTAAACTTTTCAGTATGAATGCTGCACTGAGAGGATCCATAAAAATTTTCATTCACTAAAGCAGGAAGCATGTCTGATATATGGGAGATAAACGAAGTTATTCTTATAATGACCCCTGATATAAATTTCTTCAGGGAACTACTCTGGCAAGTTCATCTGTGCTGTGGGTTTCCATGATGCTTGTCATATATTAGAGGGTGATAATATCTTCTGAAATTTGTTATTAACATTTGTTTTATTTACAAGTAAATTAACATGTACTACTACAGAGTTATGAATATGTACTTATATTATGAAGAGAGATAAAGTGACAGGGGGTTGGGAAAAACTGCACAATGAGGAGCTTCATAACTTGTATGCTTCTTCAGGTATAATTAGAATGATCAAGTCAAGGAGGATGAGATGGGCAGGGCATGTGGCACGAATGGGGGAGAGGAGAAATGCATATAGGATATTGGTGGGAAAGACGGAAGGAAGGAAGGAGACCACTGGGAAGACTGGGTGGACAATATTAAAATGGATCTGCTCTATTGTGTATTGCTGTCTTTTTAAAAGTGTTTGGAAACTGATCCCAGTGAGCCTATCCTCCCACTCCCAGGACAGTCAAATATCCTGCCTTGGGCATTAATAACTATCCTGCTACAGGATTGACCTTGTGACACGATGTGCTTAGACTGTCAAATGAATGTGTCTGAATTATAAAGTCCAAGTATAGACCTGTGTGTTTGTACTCACAAATGTAAACTTCTAAGTCAAAAGAGTTCCATCACAACATGGGAATGGAAACATTTGCAGAAGTGTGAATGCTGTATATGTGGATTTGTATATACGATATTTTGTTTTATTCCAGACTTCATTAAACATTACTGGAAATATTATAAAAATGAAACATTCGTGTGAAGACATTGTATATACTTTCTCATATGACCTTGACTACATTACCTTGGAAATGCAGTTGATTACTGTTTGGCAGGCCACAGGTGATCATTGTTTATATAGGCGTAGCCATGTATGCATTGTGTAACCATCTGGGGCCCTAGTGCACATACCAGTACTTTCCTGATATAAACCTCTGCAATTTTATTTTGGGCATATGTAATTAAAACTGTTGGGAAGAGATATTTTTGAGAGAATTACCTTTTCTTTTGACACACTGGAAGGGCCTTTAATATGGGAGCTGTAATGTTTATATTCAATGCGATATCCACCTATGAAGGTTGAACTCATAACTACCAAATTAAATAAAACCTGTCCAACCATTCAGATACTAGTGTGGAGCACAGCCATCCCTATATACACATAAATACACAAGCAGCATTCCAAAAACCACTCTGTATTCAGAGGTGCTGAAAACATCTAAATTTGTCAGAATCTCAAGATTGATTTTTTCACCATTACAGTACTTTGTTCTATAGTGGAAACACTATGAAAGTGAGGAACAAAATTTGTGATGGCTGCATTGAAAGAAATTCAATTGGGATCACTGAATGTTCTTCCATTTGTTTACAGTATATAGTGCTTGAGTCAGTGATCTAGTGATCGCTAGTGATTGTGCTGAGTGACAGTCCATGTGAAACAATCAGAGTATGGGAGACTTGTCCGATTTTGAAAGAGGACAGATCATTGGTGAGTGTTTAGCTGGACCATCTGTGACAAAAACCGCCACGTTATTAGGTATATCGAGAGCAACAGTTTCTAAGGTTATGTTGGCATACATGAATAATGGGAAGACAACATCAGAGAAAGAGAAACAGTGGGTGAAAATCAGCAATGACAGAAAGAGATCATTGTACATTGAGGAGGATTGTTTACAAATATCACCCATCATGGCCAAATTACTCCAAGGGAGTATGTGGGTAGGTTGGTTAATCAGGTGCATCCCATGATCCAGTTGTTATTTCTGAACAATGAGGCAGTTTCCCAAGATGACAATGCCTCCATTCACACAGCTGGAACTGTTCAGTCATGGTTTGAGAAGCATGAAGGTGAACATCAGTGTCTTCCTGGACCAGCACAATCACCAGATTTGAACATCACTGAACAACTCTGGCCAGTTTTGGAGACTAGACCGAGGAACAGATTCCCACCTTCAACATCTCTAAAGCAACTTGAACACATTCTTCAAGAAGAATGGTATAAATTCTGCTAGAGGCTGTTCCAAACTTGTACAAGTCCATTCTAATGATTGCACCTGCACTGAAGGCAGAAGGTGGTCCAACACCATATGAATAAAGAAATGTGTACAGAATGTGTATTGTTTCCATTATTTTGTTCAAACCCTATATATGAGAAAGTAAAAGCAGTACTACAGAATTCAGAAGTTTATTTTCTTTCAAATATTCTTGACTAGAAGCAGTTTCTTCACAACAAATATCATTACCATTTAAAACCACTGGCTGCCAGCAGGGCATTCAAAGCCCCTAGGCCTATATGAAAAATGTTAACAGCAATGGTAAAATGAACCTATTTCCAATCTATCCCTTATGTTAGCAATTTACTGTACTCAAATTACTAAAATTGAATCAGTGGTAAAGTTATCTTGAAACCTTCCTTACCTCTAAGGCAGGTTCTGCCAGACCTGTCATAGTCTTTTGTTAACTCATATAATATTAATCGACGAAACACCTATGTAGAATATTTCACTCTTAATACCTTCTGCTTCTTATTTCAGACACATACATAGGTCTCTTGTGTTAAGAAACAGCCTAGCAATCACAGCCTGTTGCATGTGGCTTGTTTAGATATGTAATTTCTAAAAAATACACAGTGGCTTTTCTTAAAATCAGAGTTCCAGCTTTAATTGAAAATGAACAGCAGTGTTTCACTCAAATTTATTTAGTAAGATGGAAACATGACAAGTTTTCAAGAAGTGTCTGCACTACAATTGGAAGCTGCATTACATTCTGTATCTGGCCATATATGAGTCACTTCCACGATTTTATGTACATATCACACAGTTCTGTTCACAAAAGCAACAGGCTAGAGTAATCAGACAAAGATGAGGCATCCCTGCACATCAGGCAAGATATTATTTGATTCTTCTTTCATCCCAACACAAGATATTTGAATCTAGTATTTCACAGATGTGAAGGTGTACATGTGGGCAGTTCTCTTCCGTCACCAGAAACTGAAAGGGTGGGGGGAAATTAAGATTCCTTATGACTTTAGTTTATATGTTCTAGTCTTGATTACATGATATGCAAGTTGATTACAATTGTGTAGGAAATAAACAGGCAGGAAATAAACGATTAAAGCATTGAAATGCCAATTTAGGAGTCCTCAGTTTAAGATAAAATTTTTGTAGTCCTGCCAAATCTCTACACAATTAGTATCACTTTATTCAATTACCAATTTCTGGACTGTGAGTTCAAGTAACTGTTAGTGTGATACAGTCTCTGACGAGCATCTCTACAACATGCTAAACCATTACAAATTCTTAAAGCAGTCCCTTCAAGGAATGTCATTGTCATTAAAAAGAGAAAATCTCAAGTTCAAATTAATAAAAAATGAACAGGTCAAAAACTACTATTTACAAACAACTAAACTAAAAGTCTAACCATGTGAAACAAATTAAGGAAGACAATTGTCAAATACAGCAGTGGATCTGAAACAAAAAGAAAGAGAACTACAGTATTTTTCTTGGTGCCTCATGCACTGTCATACAGTGTGAGGGAGCTACAGTCAATGGGCAGATCACACCCTGTGTAACCACCTCGTTCAATGCAATAATTAAGCACACTTCTCCAGGAAGGGTCATGAACCAGGAGGTGAGGGTTGCCCAGGATAATGAGCAAAGCACGAGCGCGAGTTAAGGCCACATTGAGCCGTTTTGGGGAAGCAACGAAGCCTAGTGCATGGTGAATATCAGTCTTGAGCAATGTGGGACTGCTTCGAACAGCTGACATGATGATAACTTTCCTTTCTTGTCCCTGAAACTCCTCCACAGATCCAATCTTGGGAATAGGCACTTCTAACTCCTCAAGCAGGACATGGAGCTTCTGGGCCTGAAATGAACGATCACCTTAAATTAGCTGGACCTTCTGATTACTCTATGACATCCATCTAGGAATATACAACATTAAAAGTACTCATCACTGACATACGAGGGGGTACCCAAAAGAAACCGAACTTATTTTTTTTTAAACTTATTTATTCAAATTTTAAGCACAAACCTTCAATCCCCTTCAAAGTACTCTCCACTTACACTAATACACTTGTCTAGTCTTTTATTCCATTTTTCAAAACACTGTCTAAATTCATCTTTTGAGATGCTTGACAGTGCCTCCATCGTTTTTTCCTTTGTCGATCTTCCTTGATGATTTCACGATTTTTTTCAACATTTTCATGTGTTCGGGCCGTAGAAGTACGACCAGAACGAGGTTTGTCATCAATTGACATTTCACAATTTTTGAAACGGGAAAACCACTCAAACACTTGAGTTTTCCCCATAGCATCGTCCTTGTATGCCGTTTTTAACATTTCAAGAGTTTCTGTTCCACTTTTCCCGAGCAAAAAACAGAATTTCACCGCTGCACGCTGTTCACGAAAATCAGCCATTGCAAAAACGACGATCACGCAAAACAGTTGTCACTATAAACTCTGCCGAAACTAGTCTTTACCGTCTGAAGCAACGGTAGTCGGCTTATCAACTCAGGAATGTTAGCTCTATGCACTCATAGCAGCAAAACGCGGTACTACAAAAGCTCTGCCCACAAAAAAATTTGTTCGGTTTCTTTTGGGTACCCCATCGTAACACAGTTGAAGATTCTAAAGTATTATATCACATGTTAGCAACCGTGACTATGACAGCGATATACAAGGTCCGTATAAAAAGTATCGGGAAAAATCTTTCCCTTACGTGACTGTACACCGCAGCACGCTTCCACCGCGCAGGCGTGGTAGTGGGGGTCTAACCTTTAACACGCGCCAGGCGC